TTAACAGTGCACAAAATAAGCCCCATAACAATCAAACGATTACAATTTTGAGAACCTTACATTCAATATCCCTAACATTCTCTAAGGCCTTCTAGTAAGAGTTTTCAGAAAAATATGTATTTTCTTTGAGAAGAAAATCTGAAGTGGCACTGTCATCGCTTTTATCTTTTAGAGTCTCCTCCATAACACATTTACGATAATAAATGAGAATAAGTAACACATGAAGACTGCTGTCTGCCAAAGGCCTTCTAGTAGCTTCACCACTTGAACTGATAAAGAAATTAAATGGCGATAGCACAAAACTTGCTGCAAGACAATCATAAAATTCACAAACTTCTGTCAGTAAAATAAGTCAAAATAATAAATAAACAGAAGAAAAAGACTCCAATGGTAAAAGGGGAAAAAAAACTAGAAACAAACAACAACAATCTAGTGAAATTTATGAAACATTGCATCCAAATGACTCTGAACAACACTATGCTATTTTGATGACAAATGGCATAGCTATGATGCATACTGCATATTAACAGAATAAAGCCATACCAGCTGACTACTTGTAAAAAATGAGCATTATCAAATAAACCACCATACCAGCTGCAGAACCAACTCTCTGTAAAACACCGGGCTGATTTCCTTCAAAAAACATGTCATAAGATGCAGTATTTAACATGTCATAACAATCTTCAAACAAAAAAAATTAAACTCTTTTATACTTTAGGAATTTATGCCAAAATAGTCAAAATCCCAAATTTGAATCCAAACAAAAAAATTGATAATCCAATTCATAGATATACCTAATATAGCCGTATAAAAAAAAAAAATCAACTAAATTTCATAACTTTGAAGGCACTTCAATTCAGGTCAAAAGTTACAGACCCAATTCCAAATCCAAAGACGAAATCAAAACCCAATTAACCGAATTACCCAATATCACCAAAAAAACCCAACTAACAAGCTAAAAACCAGCAAGATCGCAGCTAATTCAACAGCCCCCCCTCCCAAAAAAAAAAAACCCTAAAATCAAATTATCCCATTTCAATTAGCCATCATCCACATCACTAAAAAAATACACAACTGAACTCAAACTTACTGAGATTCGAACCAAACAGAGAATTGAACCACGGCCCAGATCGCGAGAAACGCATATTCAAAATCAAAATCATACTGCAAAATCATGACAAACCTCTTCAAAATCATCAATCAAGGCTCAAATCCCTCTCTTCGTACGGATGATCACCGCATTATATATATAGAGAGAGACAGAGAGAGACCGAGGGCAAAGGCTAGAGAGGGAGAGAGCGAGAAAGAGAGAGAGAGAGAGAGACAGACAGATCGAGAGTGAGAGAGAACCTGTGAGGATGTGGCGGTGGTGCTAGCAGTGGCGTGCGACGCTGGTCAGCGATGAGGTGAGATTGGGTGAGGATCCCCTAGAAATGAGGAGTCCATTAGACAGAGGGCGATGGCGATGGCGATGGCGATGGAAATGACGATGTGCGACGGACGTGAGCAATGGTGGTAAGGGATTTCGGTGAGCTAGAGAGAGTGGGCACCGATTGAGAGAGAGAACACAAAGAGAGGGAGAGGGTGGATGAACATACTACACAGAGAGCGAGTTGGAGACAGAGAGGAGATTAGGGCCTTTTTTTAATTTTTTTTTCTGTTTTCCAGGTACAAAACGACGTCGTTTTTTGATTGGCGACCAAATTTTTTTTGTCACCAAAAAATTTCATTTCCCCCCTCCATGTTTCAAATTTCCCTCCCAAACTTTTGGCGACCAAAACACCATATTAGTCGCAGAAAAGGTACCTTCGCCAACAAACTTTTTTAGTCGCCAAATCTCAATCAACGACGACTAAAATATTAGTCGCTAAAAGTACTAATTTGGCGACTAATTTTTTTTGGTCGCCAAAATGTAACCTTCCGCGACCAAATTTGTAGTTGGTCGCCAAAAGCATACCAATTTCTGTGACTAACTCATTTTTGGTCGCCAAAATGTGACCTTCTGCGACCAACTCATATTTGGTCGCCAAAAATATTGATCATTCGCGAATAATTAATATTTGATCGCCAAATGTCATTTTTTTGCGACAAAAATTTTTTGGTCGGCAAATGTGGTCGGTAAATGTGTAAATTCTTGTAGTGTCCATATGACTTATTGAAATATAAGAAAATAAATTATACTAAGTAGAATATAAATAAGGGAAGAGAGATTTATGAATAAATCGCAAAATTAATTATTTTGTAATTAATATTTCCTACTTGAAAATCCATTGTCTTGTCGTTGAATGTATTTAATAAGGTGAATGCTCATGATACTTAGTTTTAAAATTTTATTTAAACAATTTTAATCTAAAAAAGGATATGTAATTGATAAATATTAAATAAATGTAATTTTAGATTTTAAATTCTACCAAGAAATTGCTATTGAAAATTTTGAAGGTGTTCAAAGATTAGTACGCAAATATTTTAATTTTAAAATTTTAATAATAAAAAAATTTAATACTTATTTTTAATTTCATGATATAATATGCTTAAATATTTGTTCTTAATTGTAATATCTGATATACTTTTCAAATAATATGATTTCATATAAAAATAAAAGTTAAAAGTAGTAACTACATAGCACTTTTAAGTCCTTTATAATATAATATAAATTTTAAAAAAAATAAAATGAACGTAAATCAATTTAAAAATTTTGCTTTGAAACAAATTTGGGACAATTATAAAAAACACCCTAGGGTTTTACTCTTCTAACAAAATAAACTCTGAATTTTTAATTTTATCAATTTAAAATTTTATCAATTTAAACTTTAACCTTTTTATTACGAGACATATTAATACGGGTTTATGACATATATGTGATTACGAGATATCTTTAGCTACTTCATTGTGGTGATATGTGTTTAATCAGTATCAAGAATCGATTACTCTAGTCGGAAGACAATATGTGATATGTTCTGTTATATGTACCACTATTATGTTCTGATATGAGAATGATTCTGATACGATTTGTATTATGTTTAAGAGATATATGGTATTGGTTCACTAACCTCTTTACGTTAATGTTATTCCCTGGGCTTTAGCTCACAGTTTTATATATATGTATAGGTGAGCAATATGGAGAACCAGCTTAAGGAGAGAGTCAAGCCACCCTTTAAAGCCCTACGAGTTTTGGTGCCTCCGAGTTGAGGCTAGGTTGAGAAGATCGTTATATAGCTGTGATCACATTGTTGGGCTTTTGTTATATGTTTATTTGTACATGAATGATGCTTTGTGTATATGGATATATATGTTTTGTACAAGATTCGATGTATGAAATATCGAATCGGTAAATTAATGTTATCTACATGTATCTTTTCATATAGAAGCATGACTCATTGGATATATTTTTATATTAACCTTTCGCTAGCCTCGGTTATTTCGATTGTACATGAAGGCCTTTGGTAATCTCAGATTACTGGCCGGTCACCTCACCAACCCTTACGGGGCAAGGTGCAGATTGTGACAGAATGGTATTAGGGCACGAGTTAATTTACCTACGCACGTGTCCAATTGAGCTATAGGCTATCCTAGAAAAGAAATTAGGGCATTGCATCAACATGTGTGAGTGTGTGTGGACTTATATGAACTTATCTGAACCAAAATGTAATGTAATAAAATGAAATAAAACTGAATACCATGAACATATCTAGAACTGACCATGTAAATGCAAGCTATGAGAACTTTTCCCTATATTTATTGTTACCTCGGGTTATGTATAGACCAATGGAGAATGCAAGATGTACAGATGAATCTGAATCGTTAGATGCAAGAATTGATAGGTTGGAAAGAATGGTGGATGTTTTAACTGAACTGGTGAGACAACAACAACAACAACAACAACAACAACAGAGACAACAATTTCTACCTCCTACACAGCCTCCGGTCCAAATTGAGCTAAATAATGATGACATTATAGCTCTTACATAGAATACAAGAAAATGAAGCTGCTAGAATTTTTGGGAGGTATTGAACCATTAAAAGTAGAGGCCTGGATATTGGAAACTGAATAGATCTTCGAAGTATTTCCATGTACCGAAATACATTCACATTGAGAATGGAGGGAGAGTTTCTGGGCTATAAGAGTAAAAACCTGAACCCTTATATAGCATTGAGGCCTTTTCCTAGGTAGTGAAATCCCTAAAAGAACTCTCCAGTTAAATGTGCTTAGGCTGGAGTAGTTCTGGAATGGGTGACCTACTGGGAAGAACAAATCCGTACAGGCATGGCCCAAAGCGGACAATATCAATGACATGTGAAGGGTTGGGGCGTTACAAATGGTATCAGAGCCGACTCTTCAGAGTACTGAGTGTGGGCCCCTGGCATCTCTTGGTGCATGTGGGCAGGTTTGTGAGTCGGCAAGCTACTGCACGGGGACGTGAAACCCTAAGAAGGGCGGATTATAAGGTACCGGTGTCCCACATTGGGAATAGAGGGGGAGTTCCTGGGCTATAAAAGTAAAAATATGAACCCTTATATAGTATCGAGGCATTTTCCTAGGTGGTGAAATCCCTAAAAGAACTTCCCAGTTAAGTGTGCTTAGGCTGGAGTAGTTTTGAGATGGGTGAGTCACTGGGAAGAACAAATCCGTGTGGGCGTGACCTAAAGCAGACAATATAGATGACATGTGAAGGGTTAGGGCATTATGCATAAAGTTCTGTTAGTGACCTTTACTTTGAAAGAAGAAGCTAGAAGATGGTGGATGCTTGTTTGAGATAGGAATAGAGACTTGACATGGGATCGGTTCAAAGAGATCTTCTACGAAAAATACTTTCCACAATGCATTCGAGATCGAAATGTATCTGAATTTGAACAACTTAAGTAGGGCGAAATAACTGTGGCTGAATATGAAGGCAAATTCACCGAATTAGCCTGCTATGCACCTCATATGGTTGACATTGACTATAAAAAGGTGAGAAAATTTGAGGGTGGGCTTAATGTTGAAGTACTTGATCGGGTCAATGTGTTTGAAATTGTCAAGGTATGTAGATGTACTTGGTAAAGCTTTGATGTCCGAGGCAAATATTGCCGCATTGAAAATGTCCAAGTCAACATCAACGATCGAATGTGAGAGTAAGAAACAAAAGAAACAAAAAGTCAAAATGATTGGTGATTCAATAGCCTCCGTAAATGAAAAATCAAATTCAAGAACTTTTGACACGATAAGACGAGAAAGTGAAAGGAGCAAAGATATACTTACTTGTAGAGAGTGTAGGAAGCAACATTGGGGTATCTGTTGCCGTTTATCTGGAGCTTGTTTTAGGTGTGGACAAAAAGAACACTTAGCGAAATCTTGTCCACAAGCCCACCCAAGCAATAAAAGACCTGTTACCAGCGGGATTGGATCAACAATAACACCAAGAACAAATGCAACTACTACTGCTAGGGGAGTAACCTTAGACAAGGAAGGGTTTATACCCTAGTTGCAGAAAAGACCCAAAATAATGAGAAAGCTAATGTAGGTATTATCGTAATCATGTGCAAAATATTTATGTGAACATTAATGTGACATTATATGCTCTTTGATTGGATATATAGTTAGGAACTCACTACACGATTAGAACTATGAACTTGCATGATATACCTTGAATAATTCAACGTATAGAACTTTTGAAATTATGAATCTATGCTTCATGTCTAACGTTACTGATGTGTGAAATATTATTAGAACTGATGGGATAGAACTTTATAGAAAGTGTTGAAACTTGTGAATATTGAGAACCTGTTGATTGGTCCCTTATACAATATTTAGATGATTTGATATGACTCGTTATACATAAATGAATAGACTTGGGAACATATATTGTGATTGACTGACGTGTAGAGCTATTGTGTACGTTTGGAACCATTATACTATGATTCTGATATAACCATGAGAATAGATAAATCCAGAACAATTAGAAAACTATTGACTGTTCACCTAAATGGATTGATTCTAACCCTTGGAACAAAGTTTATTTGATAATGATGGAACCAAACATGTATTTGATTTGGTTCCGTTAGTTGAATATTTACCTTGACCTTATGTGAGATATTAACTGCAAATTATGTAATTATGATATGGACCGTACTTGGATTATACCTCTGACTAATTGGGGGAATACATGTCTTGTTGAAAAATAATTGCTTGGGTACAACTTTTACTATCATGGGATTGGTTGTTTAGAAAATGGTTGCTTCTGTGCTATTGTAGTTAGAATTTGATACTATGGGAAAGGAAAATTGTGAATAGCATGAATGACTTGTGTATATGACATATATTGAAATGCGTTGCCTCATGTTGTTGAATTTCGGGAAGGACTAAGAAATGTTGTTTGTTTGCTTGCTGGAATATTGTACTCTTGGGTTTTCACTATAGAACAATTTGATCAAACTTCTGTATTACCGGAATTTGAGTTTTGACGTGAGAAACAAAACCCGAATTTAATTTGTGATGTGATGAGCTAAGTTTAGAGGACCAAACTTTCTAAGGTGGGGATAATGTGATGACCCGGACATGTATTTGTTTAATAATCGTCTAATTGCATCTTTATGTACAAATTGCTTATGAGTTTAATGTGATTTATAAGGATTTGAATCTATATTTGTTGATTATGGAAAGATCTGTTAGAATTGCAACTCTACACTGCAAATTGAAAACCTTAGGGGCATTAGAAACCAGAATGGAATGCATATTTATAATCAGAATGATTTTTAGGACCTAATATGAAGTTTTGTAAAAATCTGATTCAGAATGAATTAAATTAATTTAATTCAATATTATGTATATACATATGAGCCTATATTGCCTCACCAACATTCTAGACTTTTCATCATCCTTATCTTGAAGAAGAAAAACGTAGAGAGAGAGAGAGAGAGAGAGAGAGAGAGAGAGAGAGACTTGAGATCAATACTTTAGAGGAGTAAGATTTGAAGGAAATGGCTTGAAATCTAGCTAAAGGCTTGAGGATTGGAAAAGGCAACTTAGGATTCTTGCCAATTCAAAACTTTAGGTGAGTTTTGCACTCATAAACTTCTCTTAAACTTTGGGAATAAATCATGAATGGTGTAAATGAAGTAGAGAAGATGATCATTACATACATGCATGTATACATATCATTCCATTGAGTTTGTTGTCTAAGAATTCTCACATATATGACATGAGTTCATGAATTTCTTCTTCTTATACTTATTTTCTTGCATAGTTCTTGAAATTTAAAGAGGAAACACCATAGCTTTGAGGATTAGAACCCAAAAGCATTTCTGTTGTGATTTTGCACATTAATTTAAGGTTTTTGTCTTCTTATATGGGAATTGAGCTTTGATTGTTCGTTGGAAGATGAAGATGTTTTACTTCATATGTTTTTAAAGTGTTTTGGCTCTTGATTTTCATGAAAATGGAATTGGTTCTTGGAAAATTGGGTTTCAAAAACAGGACGGATTTTCGGACAGGTTTTGGACCAAAACCGCACGTGCGGAAGGGGTTCTCGCACGTACGGAAAACAGAGCAAAGCAAGCTGAACATTCTGCAAAAATTGCACGGATGGGAGGACGTGAAGAGGCATTTTTGCACGCGCTGTCACAACCCAAACCTACCCCTATAGGTTTGACATCGTAATCGACCAGTAATTCTTGGATTACCAAAGGCCACTGAACAAATTAACATAATAAGGGCCTGCGGAAGCAAATATATGAAATATACATAGTCCATTGAGATGTGTAGACATACATGGAACAAAAGCATCAAAACTGAAATTTATACATACATAAGTAACGTCAAACTTCCTTAAGTCTTGTATCACTATACAGGTAATATCATAAGGGACTTAACCCAGTGTACAGATAAAGAAAAAAAAAAAGATAACGAAACGTCCTTGACATGGTTCACAAAACTTAACTTTTCAAATGAGAACCTCCCTAGGAGGCACGGTGGCTGGCTAACCCAAAACTCTCCAGGCAACAGCTTAGGCCTGGTCTCGCATCTACTCACCTACATACATAATATAAATAGTGAGCGGAAGCGCAGTGAATAATAACAAAGTAAAGGGTTTAATGAATAATGTCCCATATCAGATTCAGAAAATAGAGATAGATTCATATTCTTATTCAGAATTCAGAAGCATGTACTTGTCCAAATTCATAGATAATCATACGTGGTACACCCATTAGCGCTAACAGATCAGATACAGAGTATAAAGGGTCATACTTGACCATTTCCATGAAGGAACCTTCGGGACCAGGAACAAATAACATATTTGAGCCGCAGTATTGTAATTCTCGGGCGAGGGCTGTGAGACCATGATATTGTTATTCCCAGGCAAGGGCCTTGTGCTCATAAACCACGGTATTGTTACCCTTGAGCAAAGGCCTTGTGCTAAAGATGCCACGAATACTTTTCAATAAATGGACAATCATTCATTGATTTAGAACCTAACATGTCAGAATATAGAGCATTTCTTGGCATATCATATCATATAAGAAAATACTTAAACGTAAACCTAGCTTTACAAAGTTATTACTCACAGATGGCTCCAAAGAAAATAGACAAAGCAGACAAATCAGATAACTTGCGGCGCGTGACCTACATAGACACAGAGTGAATACATACTAAATTACACACCCAAAATCATTAACGTTGCTCTTTCTTATCTTGGTGTGTTTCTACTTCTTATCCTCTTTATTGTGTCTTGACTATGGTTTAGGAATGCCTAGGATGAAATAAGGGTGCCAAAATGCACTTTGAACACTTAACAAAATTTATTGAAAACAGGGCCTTTGCGAGAGTGCAATTTCCTTCACTCGAGCAGTCTGTAAACTCTGCAATAGTATTGGTTGCGTGAATTTTTTGCTCGACAGTCGCTTGAGTGTGAGTTGATGTCTTCACTCGAGCGTAATTTTTGTCGCTCGAGCGGTCTGCAAAACATGAAAACTTCTGGGAGCATGCATTTTACAGTCAAGCCAACTTTTAGTCGCTCAAGCGGAAGTGCAACACACAGAGTGGTTGCTTGAGCACAGGATCTGTCGCTCAAGTGGAGAACATCAAGAATTCAAAACCATTTCGCACAATCAAGGCCCAAAAGCTTGCCAACCGTTCAAAATTCAACTTGAAACTTAAGAATATGATTTGAACATGACATGCATGAATTGTTATAAACTTAAACTCTCCAAAACATGATCAATTAAGGTCAAATGGTAAGAAATGTGATGAATTCTTAAAACAAAGTCATGATAGACACATGATGTGAGACTTGATTGAAATTCAAACTCAAAATGTGATGAAAATGCATGCATGCATGAATCATTCTCAATTCTTGTATTACACAACTAAATTTTCTTGAATTCGTGGTCTAGGCATCATATTTGTCTAATTTAAGGGTTGAATTCTTACCTAGGCTTTCTGAAGTCAGGGCTAGAGGCTTAATTCTTGAGTCTCTAAGTCCAATTACTTTACTTCCTACTAAACCCCTTAGCTTGAGCTCAAGTCTTCTCTCTCACATTTTGTTTGGTTGAGTATGCTCAAAGATGTGAAAAAAGATGAGTTTAAGCACATACTAGCCTTATATAAGCTTCGTTCATGAAACTTAATTAATTGGAGTTAAAGATAACTAAGTAGGATCATTTATTCTAATTTATTCGTTTCGAATCGAATTTAACTAAAACCAACTATAAAATTCTAAAAATTCTAACTAGCATAGAAACCAAGTTAATTTCGTGATCTGATGCCGATAAGGCTTTCAATTCACAAAACGCAATAGAACACAAACATATATTCCTACACGAACAGATATAAGCACAAATAATGCAATTCACATGCGATTAATTCAGAATTTCATTTTAATGACTTATTAGGCATTCATAATTATATGTTTTAAAGAGTTTGGTCCCCCAAAGCCGAATTACCTTCGTTTTGAAAGAATATTGGATCCAAAGGGAACAAGTCTAGGTATCTTTGCATTATATCCTCTTCCGTCTCCCATGTTGCATATGTCCCTCCGTGATTTTGCCAATCAACTTTCACCAAGGGTATTTATTTGTTCCTTAATCTTTTAATTCTATGGTTCACAATCTGAATGGGTTTCTCTTCGTATGTGTAGTCGTTCTTTAAGAGCATATGTGTTGGTTCAACGACAATAAGCGGATCTCGTAAATAATCCCGAAGCATCGAAACATGAAAAACATTATGCATATGTTCCATGACCGGCGGTAAAGCTGCCCGATATGTCACTGGATTGATCTTCTCAAGAATTTCATATGGCCCAACATATCTTGGCACCAGTTTCCCTTTCACTCGAAACCGATTTTTCCTTTTCATTGGAGTCACTTTAATAAACATGTGATCCTCGACTTCATATTCTTTGTTTATTCTTTGGATATCTGGATAACTCTTTTGGCGGCTTTGTGTAGCTTTCAATCTTCGTTGAGTCAATTTCA